CACCATAGTCATTGTCACCCACCACAACCATCACCGTCTCCTACCATCACCTCTCACCCCCACTACAAATCGATACTTAAATTTCTTTATCTCTTATCTATGTTTGTGATTTAATTTTAAATATGAATACAAATATGTTTATTATTTACTATTTTTTATTATTCTATGTCTTCGATCACAGATAATAACTAGAATATATATATATATATATCATCGACATCAATATAAATTTGGCCAGATTCCAAATTTGGTGGTGCAAATAATTTGACAAAGTGGCATACCAGCTAAATGTTTTTGGACCCCACTAACTTGCAGGATAAGATATTATTTGGGCCACTAAATTAAATAATGGAAAATTCGGGATCGGTCAACTTTTTTAGATTTAACTGTGTTGCGGGATATGGGACATTAAATTTAATAATTTGTGTAAATACTGTTTCGGAATAGATCGGGTCAATTTATTGGACCAAATCAACCCATAAAAATGATGGGACAATTTTTGACCCGGACCTTATTTTTTCGGGTTCTGTTGCCCAGTGCATTCCTAGGCCTAGTATTAATGGACTGGACTTCCTAGGGCTAATGTTTTTCGTTCATAGGCCCACCAGCCTACTGGACCCAACGAGAAGCCCAAATACTACCTAGTACCATCTTGGCCCATCAATTTTACTTGGGTACTATAGTCAGGCCTGGACGACCTGCCCCTGAATTACATCGTCTTAGTAATAAGTTAACGAGGCCAAGGTTCCTCATTCGGTGTATAAACTAATTTTAATTTTATTAAAATTTTAATATATAACAAAGTTCCCCATGTTTTTAAAAAAATTGCATGCAATCTCCGTGTGAATGTGAATGTATAAGAGTTGGGCAGTTAATGTATTTTCATTACCCATTTTACCCTCATTTTATGATTTTAGCTTAAAATATAGTTAGTTTTTTTTTTTCCGTTTGTTATTGAGGATTTTGTGGTGTTGTCTATCAATTTTGAATTTTAAATTCGCAAACCAAGTAATTTGGAATATACCAGTTGCTTATTTTAAATGTTGATTTGGTAGGTACATAAATTAGAACGCAACAGTTAAATTTTACGTATTTGTTGGTAGGTTTAGGTACATATTTATTATGATTTACGTAATTTTAAATTGTATTTGATTTTATGTATTTGTGTACCTATAATAGCGTATACGTACCTTCTTCTCAATTAAATACTGGTATACATGTATCGTGAATATATATTATAATAAATGTTCAGTTCTGAATTTGTATCATTCTTCCTTCTTGCAAAACGAACAAATTATCCAATACTGAAGTACTTTGGTCAAAAGCATTCCAATGCTTAAATTGGTAATTGTATACAAAAAATCAGTGTGCATGAAGAATTGAATATTCCTTCACCCGTGCATCCTTGCGTCATTTTATAGAACCTCTTTTTGTTAGGATTTTCCTGATTGATGATGCAAGGTGGCACACCCTCCAGCAATCTGAGATATTTGTTAGAGATTCACTGAAATCTCTCTAGACGCTCCCCCAATTGACTCGCTCTTACCAAGTCGGTGATTGTGCTCATTTGTTATACCAAAAATGTCGGAATTATAGGCATCCCCCTACTACTTGTGTTGCTTACATGTGGAGCTCGGTTTCTTTGGAACTGAGCTCTTGCCTTTCTTACCAAGCTCTTTGAAAGGTTTGGCCTGACCTTGTCGAAATAAGGATCCAAGACTGGATCTGGCTACTGCTTTACTGTTTCTCACATGATCTACCTTCTCATTTCTCACGTGAGTGCATTTAATGCCCTTCACACGTGTCGTCAATGTAATGTCCTTTCATATATATTTGTATAATATACTTGAATAGTCTTGCATATTGTTCATCGAATATAATATGTTGTATGCCTATATAAACACGTATATATTAATTGTGTGCTTGTTGTGTTTGTTAATGTATTTTTTGTGTTTATAATTATGAATGCTTGTGAGCGTGATTACTTTTTATATACAATTTTTAGTTTTACTGAGAATGGATACGTAACTCTTGTGATAAAATTTTAGTTATCTGTTTGTGTACCTGTCTAACGATCTATGTTTATATAGAATAAAATACATTATGATGACACAACTTTTTAAAATAAGTGTTTCAATTACGTGATAGCATTGCCACTATTTTTGCAATTCTAAAGTATGTTAATTATGTCTGTTATTTTGACTTTTTAACAAGGATCTACTCCAAAGGTAAATTGGCAAGTAAATTTTTTTTTTGAATTCTATTGTGTGTAGGTACCAGCCTCTAAAAACAAATCTTTTAGTAATATAGAGATGGATAGAGATTGAGTCTACTTAAAATAGAAATTTTCAAGATTTTCCATGTCTGAACTAGTTGAGACAAAATTTACATTCCAACTCGATGGTATCACAAGAATTGTGCAATTTACAAATAAGAATTGTGCAATTTATCAACAGTCACGTCACCGGTGTCAATCGATATTACGCGTGCAACATTACAATATTAAGCACAAAACCATGCAAATATGAGGCCAAAATCTCCACTTCCTGTGGTCAACTACCATGACATATGGGGAGGAAGCAGGACAAAAGTGGTTGCATCCCATTTATTTTACAATTACTCAAATGTCCCATGCCCCCTACGTCAGGGTATTAAAAAGACAAATTGCCCTGTCCTCATTACATACATACATGCATGCACTTGGGTTTACTTGTTCAATATACATTGGTTTTGTATTGGCAGTTTCATCTACGAAAATATCGTCACTATTATAAGGATTAATTGTATTCAATCATTCAATGCTCGGTATCATCTTCCATTATTAATATTTTTAGAGTCAGAAATAATAAAAGTGATAAAAACCCCGGTTTATCCATTGGTTCTAGCCTGCATTTTTTCCCCAAAGCAACTCGCTCTCTCTCCAACTCCCTCGCTCAAAACCTTTTCAACCTATCCGTGTCATTGAGAGAGAGAGGGGGAGAGAGGAGAGAAAAACTTCTCTCTCTTCTAGGAGTTCCTCCTATCTCTCTCTACAAGAATATATTGGCTTTTTGAATTGAATTGCATGAATAAGTGCATGTTTTGTATAGAAGTTTGACAATCAAAGGTCTACTAAATCAATTTGAGACCTAGTAGGTGCATATGTACGACGTAGATGTGAATTGGGAAATAAGAATTAAAAATCAGATTATATAGAGCTTGATATACTTTAGAAGTTCAATGTACTAACAAATCAACGCCCTTGTTGACGATCTTTTACTCCGACAGCATCTAGGGCTCCTCGAACAATGTGATATCTCACACCGGGTAAATCCTTAACCCTTCCCCCTCTTACTAAGACGCGCATATTCCTCCGGGGGGGGGGATTGGGACGTGGGCATAAGGGTCTTTATGAAAAGGGATAGGATAAATAGTTAGGGGGTCAAATAGACTTTTTGGGGATAGAGGGACTCATACCAACCGCACCAAACAAAATCAATGTCCAATGTCTTGGTTAATCTATATTTGACACAAACAAGTTGTAGCAACTGGTTTTGTGACGAGTCCATATACACACGCCTCGAATCATTAAAAAAAAATATGGCTTCATGCAAATGGATGATAAATACATTAATCGCGGCCTTCGAAAACACTCGTGATTAACATTATTTATTTAGAAGCGCAAAATAATAAATAAATAAATATGTAAATAAAATAACTTAGGAGAACAAAATCAGCCTCAAAAAAGCTATCTGGACGCTATAATATATTTCGAAGGACGAAGCTTCATTCTTGCATGATAAGAAATTGTTTTAAATCCGTGATACCCTAGCTCGAATAAATTAATGGTAGTCTTGTGTCAAGGATACGTGTCAAAATATGATATGATTTATGTTACGAAACGAAATTAGAGAGTTTGAAATTATTCTTAAACCATCTGTTTGATAAACGAATGGACTTGATACTCTACGACTAATAAACGAATCAGATATAAGTGAAACCAATTAAAAAAAATATTATACAAGACTCTTTTATATACCGATTATACATAATTCATACATGATACGAACTCGATATAATATGATTCGTTAGACATCAATCAAGAAATAAATGAAATATAAGTTGAATATTTTTTTACACGAAGTGACATAACTTTGACATGGTTGAAAGCTCTAAATAATATCCATCTCTAAACAGCCGCCAGCAAATAATAACATTAAAATCAATTATTGTAGATTGGTGAACTGGACCTTGCTTCAGCCACAGCTAGGAGATATGATTTTGACAAATGGCCGCTGCCATTAAAGTTTTGGATCTAGTTGTTTAAACCATTTAATGGTGCCTAAGGTAGCACAAGAGTATCTCCAAAGTGGCATATTTTGTAGGTTTTAAAATTATTTACATTAATGAGAAATCAAATGTATGTAAAAAATTATTTCATTTCATTTTTCTTTTTTTCATTTTATCTTTTTTCATGTTTCTTTTTGTAGGTACATGCATTGTACTTGTGCATTCTGTCAAGTTAATCTAACCAAGAAGACTTCTGCTCAATCAATACATTTTGTTTAACCATATTTACTTATTTAGGCCATTAGCCTTCTCTTTTTCAGTGCAAAAATTATGGGTGTATATGACAATTGGGTAATTCTACGAAAATTACTATTATTTTTTTAATTTTAACAGAAAGTTGGACCCTTGGGAAAGGGCCATCATTCCCCCCATCAAATGGTACCCCATTAGCAGGTAGGGTAGAATGGAGAAGGGAGGGTAGATAGGCCGTGTTGCCGACACTGTACTATAGAAAAGGGTTGGTACTCGGTACAGCACATAGAGAGAAGAATAATATCAGCCTGCGTTGCAGTCTTATGTTTGGCGCGTTCATGATATGTGTTCCAAGTAGTTGACCTTTAAACAATAAAAATCCAAGTTGGAAATTATACAGAGGAGCTGTGTTCTTTCATGGAAGCCTCACAAAGCTTACTATCTTTGACCCCCCCCCCCCTCTCTCTCTCTCTCTCCCTCCCACTTTATAAAGCTTGTTTTTTCCAAAAGGAGTTCATATTTCAAGCTTTGAATTCATCAAACTACTCGTCGCTTTGAAACTGCAGCCGTTGAATCAAACCCAGTAGTATTCTATTATATTCCCATATTCAAAAATATCTTTGGCAGTCCATGACTGGTTCGAGAATTCAAAGGCTGCCGTACAGTTTATAGTCCTCCTGTGATACGTATTTGAAGGTCCATTATTAGACTGATATAGTGATATACTAATTTCCTTCTCAAAATTTTATATGATAGCCCCACTTATATAAGGGGGAAAGGTGGTCATAGTTCAGAGACAACGTACAATTAACTATCTGGGTTAGGGATCTTCCAGCGATTGTTTTGATTGGTAGTAGAGAGGAAGAAGAGCTATTGAAAACTTTTTGTTCTACATTGCTGGTAAGGGAATGTTATGTATATATATGTGTGTGTGAGTGTATCTTTCACTACCTTTTGTGATCTACTGGTACAATGTTTGTGATTTCTAGGTGATTGTTAATAGTATATATGAATGTTTGCATGTTTTGTCTTATTGGTTCCTAAATGGTGGATTTTTTTTGGGTAATTTTTTTTTTTGTTTTGGTTGGGGGGTTGATTTTGATGCTGAGCTAATCTGGGTTTGTGGTGATATTGTGGGGGATGTTTCAGTTTGGGTGTGAAATGGTACTCTAATGTAATGTTAAAGATCAAATTTTTCCCTTCAAGTCTCTATGATCAATTTAATTTACCTGAAATTCCTGATCATGTTGTGCAGGATAGAACTTCCTTTCTTTGAATTGGTGATTGTGATGGGCTTATCCACATCTTTACTCTTGTCAGCGTTGGAAGAAGTTGTAAAATATAGATTTTTTGGTTTAGCCCCCGACGCCAATCTTACTTCCAAGGACCAAGAGATGACCTTGAGAACTGATAGTTTCAAGAAAACAGATTCAGAAAACATCACCAAGGCCAATGCATCTGAGAACTTCCTTAGAAAGAATTCAATAAGCTTGAAGGCCTGTGAACCTGTAAAAGTAATGCTTGAAACAGCTCTTTCATTCAAGAGTCTAGTTCAAGACATAAGCAAATCAGATCAATTGAATGATTTGAATGCACAAGCTGCTGATGGATTAGCTCACAAATCTATTGCCACAATTTCTCTTCCTGCACCGGAAATATGGTTTTCACCAAGACCTGTCAGTGAGCTTGATGCTGCAGCAGTTAAGCTTCAGAAAGTATATAAGAGTTATCGGACTCGTAGAAACCTTGCAGATTGTGCAGTGGTGGTTGAGGAGCTCTGGTTTGTCTCTTAACACACACTCTTTACATGTCATATTGCCTGTGTCTCATATGTTTAATCATTCTTTTTTAACTTTGGTTATTTCAAATGCTTTAGGTGGAAGGCATTAGACTTTGCTGCTCTAAAACGAAGCTCAGTGTCATTCTTCAATGTCGACAAACCAGAGACTGCTGTTTCACGGTGGGCTAGAGCGAGGACAAGAGNAGCTTTGAATTCATCAAACTACTCGTCGCTTTGAAACTGCAGCCGTTGAATCAAACCCAGTAGTATTCTATTATATTCCCATATTCAAAAATATCTTTGGCAGTCCATGACTGGTTCGAGAATTCAAAGGCTGCCGTACAGTTTATAGTCCTCCTGTGATACGTATTTGAAGGTCCATTATTAGACTGATATAGTGATATACTAATTTCCTTCTCAAAATTTTATATGATAGCCCCACTTATATAAGGGGGAAAGGTGGTCATAGTTCAGAGACAACGTACAATTAACTATCTGGGCTAGGGATCTTCCAGCGATTGTTTTGATTGGTAGTAGAGAGGAAGAAGAGCTATTGAAAACTTTTTGTTCTACATTGCTGGTAAGGGAATGTTATGTATATATATGTGTGTGTGAGTGTATCTTTCACTACCTTTTGTGATCTACTGGTACAATGTTTGTGATTTCTAGGTGATTGTTAATAGTATATATGAATGTTTGCATGTTTTGTCTTATTGGTTCCTAAATGGTGGATTTTTTTTGGGTAATTTTTTTTTTTGTTTTGGTTGGGGGGTTGATTTTGATGCTGAGCTAATCTGGGTTTGTGGTGATATTGTGGGGGATGTTTCAGTTTGGGTGTGAAATGGTACTCTAATGTAATGTTAAAGATCAAATTTTTCCCTTCAAGTCTCTATGATCAATTTAATTTACCTGAAATTCCTGATCATGTTGTGCAGGATAGAACTTCCTTTCTTTGAATTGGTGATTGTGATGGGCTTATCCACATCTTTACTCTTGTCAGCGTTGGAAGAAGTTGTAAAATATAGATTTTTTGGTTTAGCCCCCGACGCCAATCTTACTTCCAAGGACCAAGAGATGACCTTGAGAACTGATAGTTTCAAGAAAACAGATTCAGAAAACATCACCAAGGCCAATGCATCTGAGAACTTCCTTAGAAAGAATTCAATAAGCTTGAAGGCCTGTGAACCTGTAAAAGTAATGCTTGAAACAGCTCTTTCATTCAAGAGTCTAGTTCAAGACATAAGCAAATCAGATCAATTGAATGATTTGAATGCACAAGCTGCTGATGGATTAGCTCACAAATCTATTGCCACAATTTCTCTTCCTGCACCGGAAATATGGTTTTCACCAAGACCTGTCAGTGAGCTTGATGCTGCAGCAGTTAAGCTTCAGAAAGTATATAAGAGTTATCGGACTCGTAGAAACCTTGCAGATTGTGCAGTGGTGGTTGAGGAGCTCTGGTTTGTCTCTTAACACACACTCTTTACATGTCATATTGCCTGTGTCTCATATGTTTAATCATTCTTTTTTAACTTTGGTTATTTCAAATGCTTTAGGTGGAAGGCATTAGACTTTGCTGCTCTAAAACGAAGCTCAGTGTCATTCTTCAATGTCGACAAACCAGAGACTGCTGTTTCACGGTGGGCTAGAGCGAGGACAAGAGCTGCCAAAGTACTTTACACCCCACCCCATCCCTCCTTTTGGAAAAAAAATGTTGAGATTTCTAGTGTTAACACCTAATCCTTGCAGGTGGGAAAGGGCTTGTGCAAGAATGAGAAAGCTCAAAAACTGGCACTACAACATTGGTTGGAAGCTGTAAGTCATCCTTTGAACCTTTTTTTAGGGGAATTTGGCCACTAGAGCCTTTGATCTTACCATTTATAGATCTTAATCTTTTGTACAGATTGATCCACGCCATCGGTATGGGCACAATTTGCACATGTATTATGATGTGTGGTTCGAAAGTGAAAGCACACAACCTTTCTTCTACTGGTAAGTAACATGTAGATATGGTTTCTTTATTTGGTTGATGATCGAAACGAATATACTTTCCATTTCCTGACTTCCTCTAACTATTGTTACAATTTTGTAATGTGAAGGTTGGATGTTGGGGACGGAAAAGAAGTGAATCTTGAGAAGTGCCCAAGGATCAATCTGCAACGTCAATGCATTCAATACCTAGGACCAGTAAGTTTTAGATCATCTGATAATGTAAATAATCATATGAATGGATCTGTCTCCAAACATGCTTGTTCAAGTCCAAACATGAACAATTATGTGTCTGATTCGTACATATAATTAACGCAGTGTTACCTTTTTTTGTTCCTAATTAATCAGAACGAGAGGGAAGCGTATGAAGTAACTGTTGAAAATGGGAAGCTTGTGTACAAAAACAGTGGTATCTTTGTTGAAACTGTTGAGGGTTCTAAATGGATATTTGTTCTGAGCACATCTAGGACTTTGTATGTGGGGCAGAAGAAGAAAGGTGTGTTTCAGCATTCAAGTTTTCTCTCTGGTGGTGCCACCACGGCGGCTGGAAGATTAGTTGCCCACAGTGGTGTTCTTGAGGTATATATTACTGAGACATGTATGCTTATTTTTCCACATTATAGATTTACAGAGTACCAAAACAATTACTCTTCTATATGCCATTCTAATTAAAATTTTAACATAATTTTTCAGGCTATATGGCCATATAGTGGTCATTACCACCCAACAGAAGAGAACTTCAGGGAATTCATTAGCTTCCTGGAGGAGCACCATGTAGATCTCTCAAACGTTAAGGTATACGTCTCAAATCTCTATGTTGTACACGACATATTTGTACTTATTTGTTCATGGATATACATTATAAGTACATTGTGTGTACATATTAGTTGATGTTTGTTTATGTCAGTTTTGTTGTACTAATTTGATTTGCAAATTAAGTTTCCGGGACAGAATGACTGATGAATAATATTCCTGCTTTCGGTTTTGATCCAGAGATGTGCAATCGACGATGATTGTCCTTCATTTAAGGTTCCTGATGAGGAATCCAAGCCAAAGCCGGCAATGAGTCTTGCAACAACTAGACATTCAGAACATACAAACACAATTGGTGTAGATGTTCCAACAAGGGTAATAGAGATTGAAACAGATCATCAAGAAGACAAGGACACTAATGATGCTAATGTGGATGCACAAGTCTTTAACATTGCTGAACGCTTATCCTGCAAGTGGAGTACAGGAGCTGGACCACGCATTGGTTGCGTTAGGGACTACCCGTCTGAGTTACAATTCCGAGCACTTGAACAAGTTAATTTGTCTCCTCGTGTGGCTTCCGGGCACTTTGGTAACTATGGTCCAATCCCATCGCCACGACCAAGCCCAAAAGTTCGGCTCTCTCCAAGGCTTGCATACATGGGACTACCTAGTCCTAGGACCCCCATTGCCACAGCTAACTGAGCTAAATGTGTAGAGCTTATAATTAAGGTCTGAGGCACCTCTAGTACACTTAGTCTGACCTTTTGCAGCATGTGTAGAGAGAGTGACAGAACAAAGGAACTAACTCAAATTTGTTCATTGTTTGTTTATTTGAATTTGTGTTTATAGACTTTAGTGGTTGAGCTAAACATCTTTTACCCTGTTTTGGCTCTTTTTTTAATTGAAGGTTGGCTTTCATTTATTCTTTGATTTCTTGTAAACAAGAGAGAGAGCGCAAATTCCGAATGATAATAAATTCCTTTTTTTTTTGTATTTTGATAGAATTGCTTACAAAATAATAGAGAACTGTTAATTTTTTTTTTTGGGGAATTATGTAATCGAATCTATTCATCTTTTTCCATTCATTATTTAATGAAAGGAAATGCATAGTTGATTAAGGACTTGAGTATGGTAACCCAAAAAAATTTGTTACCATACCTCTAAAATTTACAAATTCGCAAGGAATGTTTACAACTTTTTGTGGGTCATTTCATAAAAGTAATCACTTTTGTGGTTGATTTGTCACTTTTGTGGGTGTTTTCACCACTATTGTGGGTATTTTTATCATATTTATGGTAATTACTTTTAACATTTTTCTTCTCTACAAAAAAAAGTAATCACTTTTGTGAGTAATTTATTATATTTGTGGGCATTTTTATCACATTTATAAATATTTTTATCATTGTTGTAGTAACTATTTTTGCCCTTTTTTTGGGTATCACAACAATGATAAAAGCATGCACAAATCTATACTACTAATAAAAATACCCTAATATGAAAAAATTTTAATTCACTATTTTATCCTTATAAAAAATTATAAAAGCTAACATGTTATTTTGTATTTAAGTATAAAAATTATCATTATATCCTTCTGTATTTAAATAGCAAACTAACATCTAACATATCACGTAAATCTCTTTATCTTTAAAAAACGTTTGAATGTTCATGTTTCGCTTCAAATAATATATAAAAAAATTATTTTCTCAACTCTATTGATACAATGTCATCTTTAATACCTAAAAATTGATATGTATCTTTTTTTCTTTATTTACGATCAAAATAATTTAGTGATAATTACGTGCGGCGCTTATAATTATGCTATGAGACACCTCTAGTGCTCTTAGTATGACCTTTTGCAGCATGTACAGAGAGAGTGATAGACAACAAAGGAACTAACCTTAGAAAAATGAATTTGTGTTTATAGATTTTAGTGGTTGAGCTAAACCATCTTTTACCCTGTTTTGGCTATTTTTTTAATGGAAAGTTGGGTTTCATTTATTCTTGATTTCTTGTAAACAACAGAGAGCAAATTTCGAATTATAATAAATTCCTTTTTTTATCTATATATTTTGATAGAATTGTTTACATAATAATAGAGAACTGTTAATTTTTTTTTAGGGAATTATGTAATTGAATCTATTCATCTTTTTCTGTTGATTATTTAATAAAAGGAAATGCATATGGTTGATTAAGGACTTGACGTACACACCAAAAAAGTTTTTGTAAGCGTTTTTATCACTTTTTTTTGGTACAAAAAAATTGTCACTTTTATGAGCATTTTTATCATATTTGCGAATGTTTTTATTATTATTGTGATAATTATTTTTACCATTTTTTTTTGCTATCACAACAATGATAGAAACACCTACAAATCTATCTTTATACTACTAATAAAAGTATTTTAACATGAAAAATTTTTAATTCACTATTTATCCTTATAAAAAATTATAAAAACTAACATGTCCTTTTGTATTTAATTATACAAGTCGGCAATCAGAAGGTAACGGTAATAAGTCTATAGGTTGTCTAGGGGAATGACCATAAACAATCTCAAAAGGGAATCTACAAGTCGACTTGTTGATGGAGTTGTTATAGGCAAATTCAGCAGTAGGCAACAACAAATCTCAATTTTTCATCTTCTCACCCACTAGACACCTAAGCAAATCTCCCAAACTACGATTGACAACCTCAATTTGACCATCAGTTTGGGGATGACAGACAAAGTAAAACTTAAGACTAGTCCCAAAGAGTTTTCAAAGTTTCTTCTAAAATTAACACACATACTTAATATCTCTATCAGACACAATGGAAATAGGCAAACTATGTAGTCGGACGACCTCTCGAAAAAATAACTTTGTTATATGTGAGGCATCAGTCCCTCTGTATCTATATTTATATTACTAATAACAGTACAAATATTTTAACATGAAAAACTTTTAATTCAATATTTTATCCTTATAAAAAATTATAAAGGCTAATATATTTTTTTGTATTTAAATATACAAGTTACCATTATATACCTCTATGTTTAAATAACAAACTAATATCTAAGCATATCTTGTAAATCTTTCTATCTTTACAAAGCGTTTGAATGTTCATGTTTCGCTTCACATGATATATAAAACCAACAGTATTCTATTTTCTCAACTCTACTGATACAATATCATCTCAAATGTCTAAAAACTTATATATATATATATATATATATCTTTTTCTCTTGATTCATAATCAAATTAATTTAGTAAAAAATTACTAAGGTACAAAATAAAAACAAGAATAACAAAAAAACAAAAAAAAGTGAAAAAAAAATTTATAAATGAAAGAATTACAAAAAAAATGAGTTCATTGGATGTTTACAATTATAAAAAAAATATAAATAATTTAAGTATAATAAATATGAGATAATTTAAAATTTAGCTTCATAATCAATTTTTTTATATATATTTTATCAATTGTTTTAACAAAAATTTTTACATTTAACGCGCGTGATGTATTATTAATATAATATAAATAATTACAAATATAATAAATTAAAATATGACTATCGGATTCAACTCTGGTTGATTCAACATGCATTAGACTGAAAATTAATACAGATGCTCTGAAAACTCGAATCATTCAATCAGACCACCTTTTGGCCTGGGGTACTATTCTCACATAAAAAATGAATGTGTACTATAAAGTTTATTTATTATAATATTTTTATTTATTTTTAAGTAATAATTATAAATCATTCAAAATTAAATCAATAGATGAAATTGGAAGCACAAATAGGTACAGTGCTCTTATCCTTAGCAGGACAAAAGGCACTAATAATTATATCATTTCTCATTTAGTTAGGCATAATTTGTGTACTTGTGGAGCAATCTTATTTTAGCTTTTTAGAGTTGATTTTGTATACATAAACACTGTCCTCTTACTTGAACACTGCCTGTATATATTGCTTCTGAGTCTTAGACCACAGCTAGAGAGAGAAAACACACCAGAAGAGAACAACAGATGGCAGTGTCCATTATATATCTAGCTAATCTGTCTATATATAGAGGGTACAGCACCATCACTGTAGGGGCAATTACCATGCATGGTACAAATGATCTCAGATTCTTTTTGAACAGAAATTCCTTACTTTTTTTCCCTACTGCTCTCTCTCTCTCTCGCTCTCTCCAGTCCTGTGTTGAAGGGCTCTCCAATTCATGGGTATAGGTCTGTTTTTCTTAGCTGCACAATGACAGATTTTTCTCTCACTTTTTTTCTTCTTCAGTCATTTGGCTTGATGACCATTGCTGACATGAGTCTCTACAGCTTATTTGTACTCTGGAAGTTGAGAAAGACTACTCTACTACAGTCCATAACGTCCTAACAATTATAATTTTTGAGGCATAAATTATAATTTATAAATAGTATGATCGATATAATAATTGATCATGTAAATTATAACTTCTAAAGTTAAATTATAATTTTGAAATGTTTATAACTTATAAATGAGAAATTAAAACTAATTGAAGAAAGTTTATGATCAATATTATTTTTAATGATAAAACTATATTTTTGAAATGAAAAGTTACGACTAATTGAGGTGATCTTTGGTTAAGTTATACCTTTTGTGATTGACCATGGATACCTTGAGGAAAGTCCATGGTAAAGTTACACATTTCCTCAATTAATTGTAATTTTTTATTTCAAAAATGTAATTTTACCATTAAAAATAATAATTTTAAAAAGAATTAGGTTTGAAAATCATGAAAAATTGAGAAAAAAATTCTAAAATCTGTATACTTAATTTCCAACAGTAGTTTCTGTCATCATGGTCAAAATAACTTCCACTTTGAATGAAGCTCGACTCCTAAGTTTCCATCAAGATGGGGCATGTCATTTACACTATGCGAGTTGTTGTTGTCTTACTCTTACACTAGTTTTAGGCAGCCTGACTGGCCCTCTGCACAGCCTTTTTCTGGTAAAAGAAAATGGCAACTTCCCATTTTGTAAGCTGAGAGCCTGAGACACAGATTTACATAGAGTTATAGGATAAGTCTATGGTGCCAAAAAGTTATTTTCGGTACCTTATTGTTAATATAAATTTTATAATTTAGTTTAAAATTTTAAAAAATTATTTATATTTCTTTAGAGTTATTTATAATTTTTAAAAATTATTTATAATATTTGAGGATCATTTATGATTATTGGGGGATCATTTATAATATTTAAAGTTACTTGCAATCGATCCTAAAATTTTTTGTGATCGATTCTAAATAACTCATAAAAATTATAATTTGAACTATCGTAAACAAATTTAAAAATTTATATTTCAATTTTATTAAATTTATAAAATTTGATAGTATGGTCAGGAATTTTTTTTCCCAGTACTAGACTCCATATTTGTATGATTGGATCTAACATTCACAGCTTGGTTCTTGGGTACACCTTCTGACCAGTTAGACCACCAATCTATATGGGTCAAATCTGCATTTCTTGTGATTGATGTGAGTACAATGGTAATCTGGATATCTTAATGATAAGAAAGGATTACAGTGGATGTTATTGGAATTTGAAAGTTTTTGTTCAGACTAGTTTTTTTTTTTTGGTATGTAATTGTACCTTGTGGTCTCTAACATATTTTTTTGTATAGCATGTTTACATAAAATGTGAATTTAATCCAAACTTGTACTTGTAAAACATGCTTATAAGATTCGGCATTAAAAACTTGTTTTGCAAATATATATTTATAATAAAATACACATAAGTTAAAGTTAAACTCATACTTTTATACACAATAATAGCATGAGAAATAAGTTTTAAGTCAATAAAGTCAAAAAAAAGATTCATGTTATTGGTATCTATTATCTAAAGACCTTAAAATCATAAAATAGAAAGCTGATCTTTTTCTGGTTACTATTTTTCTCTCTTTCTCCTAGAAATGAAGACAGTACAGGTTTGTATTGAACAGTCACATCATTTTGGAATTCATGTTTAATTTTTTTTTTTAAATATTTTTTCCCTGTATTAATTTGTACATGGATGTCTCAGAGAGAGAGAGAGAGAGAGAGAGATGTCATGTAGAAGTGTCTCACTCTGTTTTGTTGTAGCTATTTTCAACTGAGCTGTCAAAAGAGAAGAAGTCTAGACTGCTTGACAAGAAGGCAGAATCACTTGCATGTGAAGCAAAATCCCCTCACCAGAACACACTCACACAGAGGCATAAAAAGGAGGTTCTCTTGACAGCTCTCTATGCTGGGCTTTCTTTGTTTTGTTTCCCTTTTCACCATTCTTGTCCTCTTCTCCAATAATCATGCTTTCGCACTTTTAACTATGAGAAGGTAGAGCTTAGACCTCTCTCTCTCTAGGATTATCATTTGGAGTTATGCAGACAATGAAGAGAACAATATGTTCTTTCCTGATAGTCTCTCTGCACATACTAAGTTGGGTTTCTGCAGAAAGCAGGCCTTTTGCTCCATATGTTGGTGCTCATCAGCAAGGTTAGACACTCATATTCCTTCCTGTTGTTCTTAATAAGAGTTTTTCATATAGTAATGTATTTGTATAATTTACCCATTTGCTAAATAATCAATATCATTCTCTTCTCTTGCTCATATTCGCATTCCAAATCCAGTGTGACATTTTTCAGTTGAAAAAGCTACCTTTTAACTCTTGCTACAATCATTCATCTCAAAATGTTTGCTTTCACCTACACCTTTCATGACGTACCTGTCTCTCTCTCTCTCTCTCTCATATTTTTATCTTTTGCTCCAAATTTTCTCACTGCCATTAACTAATCTTCCAAGTTTGATCAGACACAGACCAAGTCTTGCTGTCTCCCCAAGCTGCCTTTGACACAAGACAGGTACTTTTTCTGTCTCTCTCCGTAAGGGTTTGTTTTATGGGTAAGATTTTGTTATATAAGGATAAAGTAACACTTTAGTTATCTTAAAACAGATCTCAATTATTATTTTTTTTGTGTTATAACTTGACTCAATTGAGTTGTGTAATCGACCTTTCTGAATCGAAACTTGATTTCAAGATGAGGTATAATTCATTTTTATTTACTTATAGCTTTCATTGTAGTACCTCTTTCGACACTCTACTCTTAAAACCTTGTTTTGATATACTTGTGTTTGCTTGATCTTTGTACTTTGAAGGCACTTGTTAGCATGGAGGATGTAAATAGGAATGAGGAAACATTCAATGGGCTGAGCAGACTTGGGTCAAGACCACCAAACTGTGAGCATCAATGTGGAGGTTGCAGACCATGTATTGCCATTCAAGTACCCACAAACAATGAGGTTTTTGGAGTCAAGTATGCAAATTATGAGCCAGAAGGTTGGAAATGCAAGTGTGGCACTTCTTTCTTCAGCCCATAGTTGCTTTGCCTCAAATAAACAATATCTCCCCATGTACAACTTGAGATGTTAATTTGGGTGTTAAATGCAATTTTGGTTAAAGTTCTGGGTGGAAGTTGGAAGTTTCTTATCAACTTCCAAAGGTCCATGAATTTGAACTATAGTATATGAAATATTTATGATTTCTGTTCCAAATGGCCTGGGATTTTGCTTATTTTGTGTCAAATAAAAGGGCTGTTCAATTTAGACAGTCTTTGTTTGGGTGTTCTCGGGCTTGCAACGAATGCCGAAACAAGAAAGAGTTTTACTTGGACAATTTGACAACACGAAGAGTGAGCATCTCCAACTCCCTCTCTATTTCTTCTCTTTTAACTATTTTAACTAGTGAAACACAAAAAATCTTGGCCAACTTACTCTCTATTCCATTCTCTATTTTCCATTTCACCCAAATACCTCTTCCAATGTGAAAAGCTATTTAGCCTCTATAAATTTTCTCTCTACCTATTTCTCTCTCTATCTCTCTATAAATATGTTGTATTTTTTTTAAATTATTGAAAGTTGGGTAAAGTAGTTAGTTAAAATAGATAGTGTAGTTAGAGTGAATTTATAAAAATGACAAGATAAAGTAAAAAATATAATATTTAAGTATTTTTTGACTAATTATTTTAGAGAACTGAGTCGGAGATGTTCTAATACAAGTCAACAACGAGAAGAAATGATTCAAGATCCTGAGACAAGAAGGGATGTTTAGTTAGGACTAATTGGGCCAATTTAGTGCTTAGGTTAAAGTTATAGTTGAGCCCATGACATCTATTTTCAATGGGATTTGTTCAGTGATTTTCTTCGCTAATTTGTTTAGTAAGGGTACTTTGTTGTTCCTCCTGATAAATTTATTTAGGGATAAGGAGGTACGATGCCAAAAATTAATGTGGATTGCTAATTTTAATTTGAATAATTTGTAATTATTGATTGAAAAAATTTGAAAATAATATTAAAAAAAACTTTAAAAGTGGTTTGTTTTTATTGAATGAAAAGTAGAGTTATAGTATCAAAAAAAAAACATTTCGATACCGTAAGGGATTCTAATTTTTGGCAAAAAGTCGGATCACTTTTTGAGTTTTGAATCTACAAACAATCCATGTGCAAAATCCTAGTTTTCGAAGAGTAAGAAAGAACAATATTATGTCGAGGTTATCTTTATTTGGTAGGTAACATTACGACTTTTAAATTTCTTTCGCCATGCATTGAATTTCAGTGAGATTTATTATACAAAACAACGAAAGTTTGTATATCATAAGGAAATGACCTTTGGCTTCTATTATAATTCTTGTATTCTTGAACGCTAATACTATTACAATTGACTGGTAATAATTCGATCAATAATATTATACTGATCAAAATTTGTGATCAAATAAAAAGTTCAAATGAGATAACAGTTAACTTGGAAGGCTGATTAGGTAAGATTTATATTTGATTAAATCCAAAAAATTTCTGCCCAAAATTCAAGTCCCAAATCAAAGATAGATGGGGTAAAATCTGATACGTCTTCTCCGCTTTCCTAACACGCACATACAAGCGAAACAAGACGATTCTGACAAAAAAAACATAAGCATAGGAAAGCTGAGAAACACAAATGAATGCAAAGAACAGAGTAATTAAGCCAGAAAGGAGACCACGTTGATGCCCTTACCCAGAGTCTAACGGGTCTGCCTTTCTGTCCCNGTGTAATATTGTAACTGTCTCATTATAATTTGATTAAAGTTATCGTTTCCAAGGTGAAGATGTAGGGGACTGGTAATTGTTGTCCTTGCAATTCATTTTACTATCAGATGCAGTTAATTAGGTTGCTTTTTTTCCAGTTATGTCAAGATCAATAAACTTCAACCTGGTCTTGTGGGTTAATTGCACTGGTATTGTTGAAATTGCTGTGTAACAATGAGCTGTCATTTTTATGACTTCCAATATATTTGCAGGTTAATTGCACTGTATGTCTCAAAAGTATGGGATTTGTTCTATTTTGGTTTGTAATATTTCAATTATATCATTTTAGTTTTTAAAATATTGAATATATTTTTATGTAATCTATATAATAAAGTACAATACAATTTAAATCTTAAAAAATAAATAAAATAATTTTTATTTTTTGCCATTAAGATTTCTTTAAATTTACTTTAAAGTTTATCCGATAACTAATATTAATACCTCAAATTTAATAGAAAAAATAAATTCTTAAGAGACATACAGTGCAATTAACCTGCAAATATATCACAACAATTACTATCATCACCACAATTACTATCATCACCACTGCCATTTCTACCATTATTGTCGCCCCCCCCCCCCCCCCCCCCCCCCCCTTCAACTATGTTCTTCCTATACGTAGTGCTGCCCGCCTTTGTTTTTGCGTGGTGGAAGTTTTGGCTCAAGGCAGCTACTTCCCCCCCTATTTATTCTATCCAGATCGTTGTAGGTTTGTTGTTTTGGAGAATTTTTTGAGCAGCTCTGACATATTTTTTAGCATACAGTGAAGGAACGATCAAAGAATTTCTCTGATTGTTTGGGTCTGTGATGAGGAATTTGGATGGAAGTTTAAGCTCAAGATCTCCACTTCTTCTAAATTCTATCTCCAAGGAATACCAACTATTTTAGTTCTTCCATGGGCATTGTTCTTTTCTCATGGCCCGTGTTATCTTTTGGTTTTTTTGACATGGTTACTGCAAATGTCTCATGTTATTTTTGCAAGGGTCAATCCCTTTTCTTTTGCACTTTTTTTGATCAATTGAAATTTTAGTTTCTGGAGAAAAAAAAAAAAAAAAAGGCTATTGCACAAGTCGACCAAAAAATAATGCCAATTAATTTTTACCAATATCACGTATAACCAAATATATAAGCTAAAATTTAAAGTGTTTTGTTTTATTCAATCTTCTATTATTTCTGTAATGATAAAATTCATACAAATAAATGAACCCAAAAATTAATCTCATACATCATAACTCCATTTTCAAAACAAAACAAAACAAAATTTGTTTTATTTGTCTTCCATTTGAAGTTGAAGTTGCACCAAAAATTTTTGTATTTTCCTTAGCAATGACTTTTGCCTACACAAACCAAACTAATAGATCTTAAAACTGTATATAAATGGATTCAAAAGCTATTGAAAAATCAAGAAAACTAATAGAACTTAAAATGGTACATAAGGAGTTCATAACTCACTTAGTAGCTTGAACACTTTGAATCACCCTTGTCAGCATTCCCATCCCTTCCTCAATTTAGACTTCCTTGTATATAGCCAAAATTCGAAAGAAAGTTAAAGTGTATGGAGATGTGAATTAGATGAAAATTAACAAATGAATCTCGTACCAGTTGTTGTATGATATCAGACAATTGTGTAGTATCATTGATTCCAAATATTGTTGTAGAGTAAGAAACATGATCCATACCATATATACCTCTCAAAATATTGTTGTAGACTTTGACTTTTTCGAGCGAGAATATGCAAATGTCACATATCTTAGCTCTCCGTCATCTTCCTTTGACGATGTTCTTCTTTTTATGGGAAACCCTAGACCATTATCATATCTTATGCAATATTCTATTATTTCATCAACTGTATTAACATCATTCTCAATTTTGACTCTTCTAATTTTTTTTCTACATTGATTGTATTATCAACTTCCTTCTCACAAGTATTACCATCCATCTCCATACTTATAGTTAGCTGGAATTTCTTCATTCCTATCCAGGAAAGAACAAAATATAGATAATCAAAGAACATAGAAATAATAGATTGTCACCTGAATAAATGTAACTGTTGACTCTTAAAGTTACTATCAACACATCAAATGTTAGTTTTTTATTGCCTAGTTGAGATACTATGTTTAATAGATGGCAAAAAACTTAGAAGATAGATTACCATGGAGGAATTGATATAGCTGAGTCTACTATTTTGGGAGTAGACTGATAACCACAAGGCATAATTGACAAACTATTGACCAAGTCTCTATATGCTTTAAAACAATTTCCTATAACGAAATAGATTACTTTGGTCTAAAGAATATCATGGGCTTCCCAATGAATCTTTCTAGTAACATTCTATTTTATTTTTTTTTTAAGAATGAGAAAGCTTTTATTAAAATAAACCAAACATTACAAGAAGCAAAAGGGAGAAAAACCCTATACATCACCAAATTTATGGCTTTAATCCTTCAAAACATGATAACAAGTACAAAACTTTCCTACTAGCTGCAATCTTCCACAGCCTAACTGCACCCGGCAAAATGTCTTAGCCATAACCACACTTTACAACCTTTTTCGTCCTTAATTTAGGAAGCAAGTGCTGATCTTGCACTAGCAATCTAGCCACACCTCTAGGTAGTCCACTCAGAGTAAAGTCAGAAGACAATCGATCAACCACAGCCTGATTTGCTAACCTATCAGCAACAGAATTTGCTTCATGAAAAGCATGGCAAATTCTAAAATTCATCAGGCCAAGTATCTTTCTAATCTGATGCAGAATATGCAAATAATGTCAAGCACACTCCATTTTCCCAAGCACCGTATTAACGAGAATCATGGAGTCAGACTCCACCCAGTTGCATACGAGTTGAACCTCTAATTTTAAAATAACACAACATTACATGGTATAGACACCCAGCACGACACTAGACCTAGCTTCTAGCTTCGATTCATCTGGACATTTTGAAAACCTTAAATCTTAAAGAAAAAGTCATGATGGAACATATAAAGTTGAATATACAATTACAATACCAAAAAAATTATAATTTAACCTTTAAATGATGCAACTTAATTTTTAAAAATTGTATTTTTCATGATTAATCATAATATTTTATGATTTATAATAATTTTTTGAGTTATAAGTTAGATCCTCAAAAGATTGTTACTTAAACGTTATAATTTTTAAAATAATATTAAAAAAAATACTATATTCGATCTATAATTTGTACGATCGATGGAATCTATTGCAGGCAAGAAAAGCAATGGTAAGTATCAATGCCGTACAC